AAGAGTGATGCATGGCTGCGATATTTTTTTGGATCATGGATTATCATTGATGTTGAAAACATTGAGTGCTAGTATAGACTGTTAGACATGACTTTGTATGTGTTTCTGGTCTACTTTTGAGTGCTAGCATTTAGTCTTGTGGTTTGGATTGGAGGCTCCTCCGTTGGAATATTGCTATCTCCTATATTGGCGGGTTTCATGTCGGGAAAATGAGAATGAATATATTTTCCGTTGTCACGCATATCACAAAGAATTGAACTCTCTTTTCCGTAAAAAGTATCATAGGTAGTTTTGCACAGACTAAGATAAGTTAAAAAAATAAATAAAGACAACAGTGATTTTACAAAATTAATTTGATAATTACTTATTTTTGTTAGATATGATGTAAGATAATATTTTTATAAAATAATATTATAAAGAGTATAAATAAAAAACAGATAATTTATATTATATTAAAAATTAACATATTATTTATTTTTTAAAATATGACATTTATTATGTATGACCGATGACATATTTTTATTAAATGATATAATAAAAACCACTATTAGTTGATTTTAAATTTGATGCTGATTTCTTGGGTAAAGTTATTTTAATATGTTGAACTAAAATTACAAAACCTGGTACTATCATTTTTTTTTAAAGTAAAACAGGACCGATTGAATGCGTGAGGTAGATTATTTGTGTTGAAGTCTGCATCCTTTGTGAATAAGGATCCTCTACATTGAGCTTATAAATTTTTTAGTAACTTAAATCATTTTTAATCTGGAAAATGCTTTGAGGATAAATGATAACTCTAATGGACTCCTAATTCAAATTACTCTCAAATAGAATGATTGTGTTTATTTAAACACAAACGAGTTTTTTTTTCCCTTGATAAGGATAAGCCTTCCTCTAAATTATAAAATCCATGGGTATATTTTTCAAGTTTGGAACAATTTTAAATTTCCTTGTGGAAAATCATTATACGCAAGAGGAAATTTTGAAGATACGAACAAGGATTGAATTTTGAAATGATATCATGCTTGTGGAGTTGTAGTGATTAAAAATACAAGAAATGTATGTCATTTATTTTTAAGGGACTTAATTTACGATAACTTACTCGGGTAGAAGCTTAAATAAAAAAGATAACAACTTTTAAATTATTATTAAATATATGATAAGAAAATGGCTGCAAAATGTCACTTTTCCAAATTTTTTTTAAAAGTCTCATTTATCTAATTTATTAAGATTAAATAATTAATTAATTTAGTTGATAGTATTAATTTTTTCTAAATTTATTTTGTAAAAACATCTTATCCTCAAGTTAAGATTTAATGGAAGGATAACATTGAATATTGTTTAAAAATTAAATGATTAAATTAATTTTTTTAAAAATATTTAATGATAAATTTCTAGCTTACTTTACCTCGAATCAAAATGAAAATTCGAGTTTCGAGTCCCCAAAAAGGAAGAAGAAGGAGAATGAAGAACGAAAATGGCAACTTTGAGCTTAGGGGAAGAAGAAAAATGAGGAAAAATGACAACAAAGGCCAATTAGGGCCGCAAGCTTCCTTGTACTCCTCTACCTAGCACCTTGAGACAATCCACACGGAAAATGGTTCAGCACAAAGATTTCAACAATGAAAGGGTGAATGGAAGAAGAAGAAAGTGAGAGCAGAGAAACAATAAGAGTAAAACAGTGCAAGTCTCACATTGATATCAAGTTATTTTTAAATATCAACAATTTCTTTTAAAAAAACTATTCAAATTCAATTTAGAGATAAAAGACAAAATAACTGAAAGAATGGAATGAGTGAGAACCTTTAGAGCTCGTTTACTTCTACTTTTATTTCTTATTTTTATTACCTAGTTATAAAACTGTCACATTATTTTATTTATTTTTCTTCAAATTTTTTACAATGTTTTCATCTCTTAAATTGTTACCGTAGAGTTCTTAAGTAACGAGTTACTAAAAATAGATGAATCTTGTTAATATATATAATACTAATCAATTTCTTTATGTTATCTTCAATGTTACGGTCTCTAGATTTCTTGTATCTTGATATGTTTGAAATATTACAAAAACAGCGTAAAAATAAATCTCAAGACCAATCAAAAAAGAATTTGATAATAAATTTTTTAGTTTTTGAGCTTCTTGTTGAACTCATTTTCATGCAAATTTCATTGTGTTTTTGATTTTTTTTAAAACCAATGGTGGGTTCAATAGTTTTCATGTATAATAGGACACTTTTTTTTTTTTAGTACCATGACTTTGACAAAAATATTTATTGACTTCATTGAAAACTAATTCGAAAATTAGTTTCTCTCGAAACTTTGATTATATTATGACTATTCCTTTCAACATTTTTTTTATTAAATCTAAAATTCAAACTTAAGATCTTGGGATTTGAAGATTAACCGTAACATCAATTAAACTAATAAACATTGATAATGAGACATGTTTTAAGTATTAAATAAGTAAAAAAAAAATTAATATTATGTGGCAAAATCAAAAAATGATTAACGTTATGAGATCATTAAATTGACCAAAATTTTAAAAGTAAATAATTATAATAAATAACTTTGAATAGTGAATTATCACTATCTTCTAAAATTTTTTTTTAAAAAGTAAACTCTCTTAAATGCACATAATCTTGAATTTAGTTCGATTCATGATATTTTTATTGTAAATTATATGAATAAAAAATAAAATATTTTTTTTAATCATAAATTATAATTACAACAACCATTTATAATATATATATATATATGAAGAGATCTTTTTACTCTAAAAGTAAGTCTACAAAGATTTACTCAGTTCAATAACTCATGTTTTACATCAAATTTCAATGATCCAATCGTTCAATTTAAAGTTCTTAATGCATAGATCAAATCTGCAAATTTTTAAAAAAATTAAAAATTATTTGATACTTCATTTCATTAATTCAAATTGACGAATAATCATAAAATTATTTTATGCATTGATTCGAATTAATGAAACAAAATATTAAATAATTTTCAAATTTTCTAAAAATTTGCAGATTTAATCTATGTATTAAAAACTTCAAATTAAACAGATCATTAAAATTTGATCTAAAACACGAGTTATTAAACGAAGTAAATATATATAGACTTACTTTATATATATACGTATTAAAATGTTAATTATCTTTCACCGTTACAAAATGAAGAGACCCCACCACGTTGATCAGTGAAGTTTCGAAAGAAGGGTATTTGGAAAGATATATCTCGAAGACTAGAAATGAAAACTGTAGAAAAGTCAAGTTTAATTATTAGTTTATTACGATAGTAGTTACAATGAATTTGATGATCAATTTTATACGCTCATCTTCTGAAATTTCAACTCCAATTTTATTTATTTATTAGAATTACAATCACATCACAATGACTGGGTTTAAACTTAAAAGCACGCATTCTATCCTAACTCTGAAATTAGACTGATTTTAATAGTATTAAACGGTTCGTTTTAGGTACAAAATTTACACACCAAAAATATAACTAGAATGGACTGTTCTGATTTTAGAATGGATCGTTCTGATTCCAGGTGTATTCAAGAAATTTGGGATCTACTTATACATCTACGTGGTATCTACCTGACATCCACGTAACTACTAGTTAACTTCGTTTAAATTATTTGGACGGAAGTCCCAAATTGTAATAATTTAAATTATTGGGGATAAATTAAAACAAAAAATTAAAGTAAAACTAAATTGAAACAAAAAAATATTATAAGGGACCAAATAAATGTTTTAACCTTTAAATAACAAACCGAGTATCATTCAAGTAAAATAAACAAATGAAAATGTTACGTAAATGTTTTTTTTTTTACAAGTGTTACATAAAAGTGTTATGAGATTTTTTTATATTTTTATATTTCATAACAGTATCTTAAAATTTCATTGTAAACTAATCTTATTCAATTATGAAATAAGTAAAGTGTAATTGATAATTCTTTTTTATCAAAGATCGAATTCGAATATTACTTAAATAATTTAACTTTAGATTCAACATATTAACCGTTTAACCGTTTTTATCTAACTTTTTAGTTAAATGTGTTATGGGATAAGATATTTGTTTGATTTTTATTAATTCAATAGTTAAATATAATTAAATTTACAATTTTTCAGTGCTAATTAAATATATAATTTAAAAATGATTTTGAATTAACATTAAATTGTACATTTAGTTATGGAGTTTGCTAATTTGCACCAACTTATTTTTTTTAGAAAGAGCAAGTTAAAAAATTATAACTACAATTTTTTTTATAATGTATTCGGGTATAACTTATTTACTCACTCTATCAAAAAATAAGAGAAAATAAGTTATTAAATATTTGTGGAGTTTGTTACCGTACACCCATTTTTTTTAAGGATTATATTATTAAGTTATAACAATATTTTTGTAAAATGTACATAAATGTGACTTGTTAATTTCTTCTAAAAAAATAAATGGGTGTAAGTTAACAAATTTAGTTATATATAGTCAAAATATATAATTGTTGATCCTACTTTACGTAATTGATATGTATCGATCTAAGAGTAAAAATTTTTCAATCTAACGGTTGAATTTACAAAATTTACATTTAATATAAGATTATTGAACAGTGTAATACTTAATAAAAGTTATACCAATGTTATTATAACCCTCCTTATATATATATATATATGTGTGTGTATGTAAGAATTAAATGACATTGATATAATTTTTATAATTATTATTATATTATTCAATAACTTTATATTAAATGTTAATTTGTTGATCTAAGTATTTTTTTTATAACTTCATATGATTTTACATGCTTATATCAAATTTTATTAAAATTGAACAATTTAAAAGTAACGAAATTATTCATATTTTAATATATTTTTAAAACATATATATTATATCAATTTTAATCTATATGAACAAGATATCAAATCATCTTTAATTAATATAATTTTTTTATTATATATATATATTATGATGTAGATATAAAACTCTAAATTTTATATATTAAATTTACCGGTTATTAGAATTTAAAAAGTAAATTCTAATATTATTAATAAAATTTTATAGTTATTAGGACTTTAATATAAATAAAAAGTAATATAAAATTTATACCATTTTAACAATTTCTAATAACATTTTACTTTGTATATAAATTCTAATAACTGATAATAAATTTTATTATAATTTTATCAGCTATAAAAATTTATCAATTTGAATTTATAAAAAAATTATTAGAATTTTGATAAATTTTTTATAACTGAAAAATTATAATTAAATTTTATAAAAATTAAATTCTAAACAAAATTATTTTGTATATAAATTCTAATAACTGATAATAAAGCCTTTATTTAACTGTAATAAAAAGTTTTATTTATTATCATGATATATCATTCTTAACGTGCTAGCAGAATAAAAATACAGACACATAGACACGACTTAGTTCAACAGACAAACAACATCAAACACGAGTTGGGATATGTTTCAACAAATTATTTAAAATTATTTCAAATACTCTCATAAACACTTATAAAATAAAATAAATATAAATAATTATTTATAAACTCTCATAAACAAAATCTTGATTCAATAAACTCAATAGATGAGTTACATTTTAAATAAAATAAATATATAGTAGATTATTAAAAAAAATAGATAGATATAGAGTTACATTCATAAAAAAGATATAAAAAAAAAATTGTAAGTTGTAAAAAAATAACTAAGATAAAATTAGACAAAAATCATGTACATTAAAATGTCAAATCCTTTATTATTTACATATTATATGTATTTATATTAAATACAAAGAGGATTTACTTACTAAGAATAAGTTTTTGTAAACTTATTTCACTTAAAAATTTATGTTTTATATCAATTTTTAATGATTTGAAGTTAAATTAAAAAAATTTAATATATAAATTAAATTTGTAAAATTTTTAAAAAATTTATAAATAAGAGACCATTTATTTTAAGAATAAGCTTAAATAAATTCTCTACTAAATAATTTATGTTCTACATCAATTTTTAAATTTTTAATAATTAAACCATTAGATTAAATTTTTTAATATATAAATCAAACTTACAAATTTTTATTTATAAAAAAGAAATTAGTTTTCTGTTATTGGTGGGTGATGTAAACTGTTGATTTAAAGAACCTTAAAATAAAAGAAAATAACAAAAGTATCACATTCTTTTTTTCTTTTTTCTTTTTTATAATCACGATTACTAATCTATGTTAAAGTGTGAAAGCATATAAAATGAGTATTCGAACTATTTCATTCTATGATAAAAAAATAAAACTATATTCTAATTTTATTAAAAGAAAAAAAGCTTATTTTTTGTAAGATTAATCTTGGACAAACATTTACGTGAGAGAAAAAAAAAGTAATTTTATTAAAAAAAAAAAGATATTTGTATTATGAGGGAGACTTTTGAGAGACGACCCGAAGTCAGTCAACTAACATTTAGAATGATATATTAAACCGAGTGATGAGATGAGAGTGCCAGATCATAACTTCTCTTTTCGTCTTATTCTCTCAATTAATCGATGTGACATAAAGAAATTACTCTTTCTATTTTAACTTTAGATATAACTTTCAAGTTTCAAATAACTTCTTTTGTGTGATTGGGTCTTAGATGTTTTGGAGGAAACAGCTAGTATTATTTTTCTGTTAGTATGGACCAGAATCCGTGTACATGAGAAGCCATTTTTATTTTAATTAAAAATTAAATATATTTTTATTCCATAATTTTTAATATTTCTAAACTAATTTTATTACTTTTTTAATTTTTAATTAGTATTTTAGTATGTACAATGCATAAATTAAATATTTATTATATATAACTAGTTTTTTATTTATAAATTATATATATAAAAAATATTATATTTGAATATATGAATTTTATTTAAAATTTAAATAGATAAATATTTTCAAACATATAATTTATATTTTATATTTATGATAAATATTTTATATTATAGCATCTGATCTTTTTTATTTTTTCACAATTTATTTTAAAAATATTAATATTTATTTCATAAATAATTATGATAAATAAAATTTAAATTAGATATAAAGTTTGTAACAGCTTGAACATGTCGAAATGAGAGAGATCCAAAGATTGTAAAGTATGAGATTGTATAGTTGAGGATGACTTAAAGAAATTAATTTACATTACATATACCAACAACATACATCTACTTTTCGATAGTTTATCTCATAAAAACTTTACAGTTAAGCGTGCTTGACTTGGAGTAAATTAGGGATGAATGACCTTCTACAAAGTTTTTTATAAAATGTGAGTGAGGACAAATCACACTAAAAGGTCCCATGTTGATTTGTGAGGCCAGTCGTTGATCTTAAAAGCATCTAGACATTTCAGAAAAGGCTACCCAAAAAAAGTTCCGATTGGTGAAGGGTTCTAACTAACGAGAAGTTGTATGAAATGTTATGAAATGAAACCGTGAGACCTCATATATGAGGAATGTTACAAAGTTAAATGATTTTCAAAAAATTCTTTTGTCGATAGAAAACTTCTAAAAATATAGAAGCTGATTTTTTTATGGAAAAAACTTTTGACGTCAAATGCCAAAACCTTGATAGAAGAAAATTTTGAATAACTACACGTAAAATTTGATAAAAGTTCAAAAATAAAAATAATTAAAAAATTGTTCAACCACTAAAAATAAAAATTGACAAGAGTTCACTTATTAAAAACATATTTAATCTTTTATTTTATAATTTCATTTTTCATTAATTATTGTATCATTTGTTTTTATTTTTTTAAATTTTTTTACATCTCTTTTTACTAAAAGGTACATATACTTTTAAGTTTCAAACACTCTCATATATGGAGAGTTGAGATAAGACCTACCCTAGGACATAAGAATTGACTTGATACTTTCAATTTCGATTTCTATCTATGTTAAAATAATGTTTGAACAACATAAATTATGCTCTACATACATAAATTATTCTTTTATTGTTAGCTTTGAGGCATCATGTCCATTGACAAAAAAATATACTGAGAGTTGGAATTTATTAAATTTTTTTCATAATATTTGATAAATTCTACTAATTTTTAATTAATTTCTTAGAAATTTGTAGTTTTCAATCATTTTAGTAAATAATAGAGCTTATTTTGCTAATATTTCTCCATAATTAAAGGAGTTTAATATTACATTTTTTAACCCATTCCTTGTATTGTTAAAAATTATTAAAAACTATAAAATTATGAAAAATATTGATTAATTAAGAAAGAAGTAAAACCCGTAAAATATTATAGTTTTAATCGGTTTCAAACAATTATAAAAAATGTGCTTGAAAGATTGTCTTAAAAGGGATAAATTATTAATTAGGGACCATGTGATTTGAAACTATCTAATAATTTATTTTTAAGAGGTGTATTGTTTACATTTTTTTTACTATTGTTACTTGTTAGAGTTGTACTCTGTTCAAAATCAATATTTTATCTTGGTAATCAATGCTTTTATCTTGATAATTAATAATTAATTATAAACTATAATTATTAACAAAATATCAATCCTAATTAAAAGACAACACTAACAATTTAACACTAATTGATACAAGTATAAACATTTTATTTCTCTTAATCAAGTTATCCAAGGATCAAATTTTTATCTAGAATATGAAATAAATTATGTTGGAAGTAAAATATCGATCTTATGTATATTTATAGTTCATGATTGAAATTAGTCATTATTTTTTTATAATAAATACTTGATACTAATATCATGATTACTTAAAAAAAGACAACACAAAAAATATTTATCATATTTCTTTTGAGTTGATCAAACAAGAAAATGTTATACTTTTTAGTTGTTTTTAATAAAAAAAAATATGAGTTGAGAAATTTAATAACTTTAAGTATTTAACTAATTTCATATATGTAATTACAATTAAGTTAATGCAAATTAATTTTAATTGATATATAAATAGTGAGGAATTTTTTATTCTTAGTTTATACTTTCCATATATCACTTGAAAAAAGAAAAAAGAAAAAAACAACACGCTTTTGAGATGTATATGAAGAGAGATAGAAAAGTAAAAGTAAGATAAAAAAATTGATGTGACAGGAAAAAAGAAAAGAAAAAAAAGGAAGAGATTAAAAGAGTAATTAATTAGGATTTAAAGAAGATTATGCTGTAAGCTTTTTCCATGTAACTACCAACCCACTATCCTTCTATTTATACATCCCTTCACCCTATTTTAGATACACGCACTCCCCTGTTACATCGCACTTGTGATCAAGGCATGGATTATTCAAAGCACAAAAACTCTAATCTTCATCACAGTCACTTACTATCCCAGAGTTCCAAGAAATCAATCAAGTTTCTGCTATGTTTTTCCCTCTTTTGTGTTCTCTTTTCTTTACTTCCCTTACTTGTTCAATCTTTGAACCCATTCCTCGTACAATTCTTTAGCTACATCGTTGAAAAGAGTTACATGTTCCTTCTCTGCAATGGCCTTCTGGTTTTAATAGCACTCAACTCTGGTCTAACTAATGCCCCTTCTCAGCAAGCCATACAACATGCTTTAGCTGTTCCCGTAGAACGTGTGGCACCACCAATCGCTGAATCCCCACAAGAAGAAGAAAATGTTTTGGTGGTAGTAGAGCAAGAAAAGGTGGTCTCAAATGCTCAAGAAGATGAACAAGAGGAGGGAAATGCCATTGTGATCATTGATGAGCATGAGCATGAGCATGGTGTGGATGATGCTGAAGAGTTGAATAAGAAATGTGAAGATTTTATTAAAAGAATGAAAGCAACGTTCTCTTCTAATAATTTGGAACCAAGAGGTGTCGCCGGTTTCTATTTTGAAAATCAGACATCGTGGGTGGCTGTTAATTAAGTCTCTCCGTTTTTAATTGACTTAAAATAACATGGTAGGGTGTCTTAGTTTTCCAAGTTTTTTGGTCGCCCAGATTTCTACTTGTAATAATTAAACTAAATCATGGCCTACATGATTCTGTCCGAGTATGTTGCATGTTCTCATCTCTGTTCTACGCATAATGGAAAGATCAACTTCACCATTCTATTAAATGCAGATCTTATTTACTAGTTAATTAACATCAATATATATCTTCCCATTATAAACTTTCTATGTTACCCCATCAACTTCCATCCAATATTCAATCTTGTTTTCTTTTAACCCAAAAATAAGTCTTTATGTCAACTTTATTGTAAAGAGGACTGCTAACTTTCGCCATTTGAGTTTAAGTTTCGATAGCCAAAAAATTGACTTGTTGAAACGTTATTTGTTTCGATGAGTTTGATTTAGAAAATTAGATTTAAGGCCCGCAAATATTAGGAAATTTACGATAAATTGGATAAAAATAATTTATTAATCTAATTAGAATTATTAAAAATTTAAGCTATTCTAGAAAAAATTATTTAATCTATTCATTAACAAATTTTTCATATATCCATTCATAAAATGATATTTTAAAAATTAAATAAATTTTATTTTTAAAATAATTTATTTATTTATTTTTTATAAGTTATTACATTATTGTATAGTATTTTAAAAAAATTAAGATTTTTTATATTAAAATAGTCTTTTAAAATCTCAATTAAATAAACATATCATATTGTAATTCAATGGAATTTTAAGAAAATAATAGATGAATCATTTATTCACTAACCATCCATAAAATTAAATGAATGGATTGGATTCAATCCGTTATTTGTTTTTATTGTAATGATGAATCATATATATTTACTTGTTAATGGATGACATGAATGATGAATAAATGAATTCATTTGTCATGTATAGGATGAGTTTAGTATGTTAAATACTTTTACATTCTTAGAAATATTAAAGCAGGTAACTTAATTTTCTATGTTTGATAACTACTTAGAAAAAAATAAAAGATTTTTATGAATATAGTTTAAACTATTTTTATTCCATTTTATCACAAAAATTTCTCATGAGAGGTAAGAATTCCTCTCTGCCTCTCACTCCTCCCCCTCTCCCCCCCCTCCCCCCCCCC